TAGTTTACATCCAATTACACAGCAAGTGGCTAGCTGTCTAGTAGGTCCAGCCAAGAAACTTGGAGGCCTCAATGCCCATGCAGCTAAATTAAATCCCCCCAGAACATCCCTCATCTCTGCTTCCGGCTCTGTCCTCCAAAACGGGCTCACTGTAGACTTTTGGGAATGATCCCAAACTGTGCCTGAACGTTGTTTTGGAGAATGTTAGTTGGTGCAGGGCAACAGCGTGCCAGGAAGAGCTTTAGGAGTTCAGTAGCGTGGAGGATCATATTCCAGTGCCCAGGAATGCTCTGGCCACTGCTAAATTTTACAGCCTTGGAGACTGAAAGACCAGAAGCCTATTTGTCAGCTGGTCTCTCAGAGTTTTGCTTTTAAGTGTTTCCATAAAATATATTGACATTTGCATCTTGTTAGTATCTTGTGATGGTGTAAGAAGCATTTTTTTAGAACTTCTTATTTAGTGCAAATTATACAGGAGCAAATCTTAAGTGTTGTAACCTGCTTGGAAAAGTGGGTGAGAGAATAGAATTGCAAGTATGGAAAACATGGAGGGATCAGCAGCCATATCCAAGCATTTACATCACTTTTAGTCCCCTTCACATGGGGAATATTGGAGATGTGACAGTAAGCTCCAAGTGCTCATTACATTGTGATTACCCATCACAGTGCATCCATGTTTGTACCTAATTGTATGAGAAGTGCTGAAGAGCAGGCATCTTTAGTGCAGCGTTACATCTTCCCCTTCTACCCATATAGTGTAACAGCCATTTATAGTGCCAAAGGTTTCTTGTGAGGGCTGGGGCAAATTGGCTGGGCCAATAAATTGTTTTCTCCTATACTGCCAGTAGTTGAATGCTGGAAGTATAGTTTGCACATTTCTCTGTTTTTATCATAAACCCTAGAATAAACTAAAAATTCTAGTTTTCATTGAAATAAATTTATTTATGGAAGGTGAATATTAACATTTTAAAAACCTGAATTTTATTAGTCTACATATAAGCATTTTCATGCATGTCTAATATCTGAAGTCTATGAAGTTGTAAATAAACTGTACTCTGGCTTCATTTATATAAAGCAAATTGTACCAGACAGCCTATAGAATGATAATTTCAATGTCTTTAGGAAGCTGTTTTCAGTAGAGGACATTTCAAGATTTCTTTAAAGGACGTGATAATATTGAATCTCACTATATTGGAGTGATTGAAGATTTTTTAAAATTAGTTTTATTGGAAATTATCGTACATCTATATAGATAAAATTTCTCTATGTCTTGCACATATGGACTCAGTACTTAATAATTCTCTGGAATAATGAGTTAACATACTTTTTCCATATATTTTTGAGGATTTCTATGTCCATTTTACTTGCCTTTTGTAAACTTCTAGTATCAAATTGCACATAATATTTTGAAATAAATTTTAAAATTAAAATGCTTCTTATGAGAAATGAATGACAGTATTTGCTTACTTAATCCTAGGTGGCCTTGTTGTTGTAGATGCCTAAAAATATCCCACCTGGTCTCTAGGTGCCCTTCCAGAAGTGCGTGGGTTTTTCTATAGTTGTGTGAAATATCTGCCAGCCCTGTGGCAATGGCTTAAAACTCTGATACATCTGAGACGACAGTAGACACCCACGCTTGGGCAACTGAATCGCTCCTGAAGTGACTATTGTATTAGGGTATCCTCTACAAAAATGTACCGCCAAGGCAGTGAAGAGTCACGTTCCGTTGGATTTGTGATTGTTAAGCAGGTTGTCAGCAATCAGGAAAATTGACATCAGTGTGTTTTTTTGCCTAACTTTCCCACTCTGGACCTTGACCTTCTTCTGTCCTGTTTGTCTGGTGTTCCTGTTCTTCCTCGTTATTAGAGCAGGCACCCTTGGTGCATATGCTGGAGCCCATAGAGGAGCTTTCAGAAGAGGAAAAAGGTAATGGTTGATTCAGCTCAAAATGTAGTGGCATGTGTTTTTTGAAAAGAAAAATGTAAATATTATTTGATACCTACACTATTTTTTTCATTGTATTTGAGTATGCTTATGTGATTTGGGTGGAAACTTTCCTTGTTTGTGTCAGTCTCCTGTTTGCTATTGGTGCTTGTAAATATTATGATTTCCTTATCCAAGTTAAATGTTTTTATGGAAAGCTGGCTAACTTTTTAAAGCAGGCATATTCCATATGTCTAAAGGCATTTGAGCTAAGCAGAGCAAAAATGTTTGACGGGGAATACCCCTTTACTAGGAAATTTTTGGTGCTGACGCTGTTGCAGTGTATGCTCGCTTCTTTTTCAAACTCTGTGTAAGAGGATAAAGAGTTCAGATACAAGAAGGAAGTTGGTGGTGGAGGTTGAAGCTGCCTGCTTTCATAGATGCACCAAAGATACTTTTGCAAGTAATCTAAGTTACGCCTACCTCTAAGCAGTCACAGCTCCAGCCAGGGTTGTGCAATTCTGAATGAAATTGCATAGGCCGGTGTTGGCAGCTGTTGTTCTGCTTCATCTGAGGAAAACTTGGAGAAGGCCACATTTACAGTGACAGAAGAGAAAGCATTGGTTCATCCTGCATGGTATTCTTCTCCTGAAGAAGGCTAACAGTACTTTAGATGCAACACCAAATAGCTGGATAGCATAATAATAATCTGTACTGTGTGCAAAAATCAAAGTCAGTCTTGAACCTTATAGCAAATGTGTTTAAATTTTGAAGGAATGATGCTGTTTCGAAGACAAAATTGTTGTTTGAATACATCTGCGCCTAAGTGAGAGGTTTCCCCAGGGAAAATCTGGTGACTCTAAACAATCTGAAATAAAGACTGCTCGCATTTTTGCCGTTCTTTCTGCTATTGCTCTTGCTTGCCATCTTCTCTCTTGATGGATTGTCTTTGATTCTTCTGCTATGCCTAAAGGCATGGCCTGCAGTACAAAGGAGAGAAAGAAAGAATGCAGTCTGAAAAGATAGACCAAGATTTTTTTTGTTTTCAGTGACAGCCATTTGTAAGGGAGAGTGTGAAAATTCTTGACTTGGCAGATTATTTCATAGGATTATGTAGGAGCTGAGGCAGTGGACCAGACTTAAGATCCCTTGTCTCCAAAGTTGTCAAATCTAGTATTTAGGGTTTTTTTAAAAAACCAAAAATGAATAAAAAAGCAGTTCCTTAAATAGCTGGCTCCAGCAGAGAGAATTTGGCTTGAGTTAATTAGCAACAATTAATATTGTCATTAATTAGGATAATGCTGGATAGTCTTGTTACCCATATTAGTATGTAGTCATTATGAATTTTAAAACGATTTTAGATGGATCTATTTTATTGTAAGGATTAACATCTGAAAGGGACAGGATTTTAAGAAGGCTCCTTGGAGCCTTCTGCTTTAAAATGTCTTATGTTTGGCTTTGTGGGAAAATTTCATACTGCATAATTCACCTTTTCCTGACTGGGGATGGTCTGATAGCCCTGTGTTTCTGCACTGAGGAGTAGTTTGCCTCTCTAGGAGTCAGCGCTCCAGCCAAATCACTTTTAATCCGACCTCTGTCAGCGATTGAGTTGTCCACACAGTTCCCAAAGCCACTTAAGATTCCAGCCAGATTCTGTCCTCTTCAACACCAATCTCTTAGTATGGTAGCTTGACTCTTTTTTCAGTTTTCATTACCTATAGTTCTTTCCCAGATCCACAAGAAGCCACTGCCTCAAAACAACCTAAATATCATTTGTGTATCTTGAGGCTTTTTTGGGTCCTCTTCAGGGTGCTTATCTTTCCCTTAAACAAAAATGAAAACTAAGTGGAACTGCTTTTTAAGCAATCGTTGTTTAAAAATAGGGAAAGTGGCATGTTTGTTTTGAAAAAAGCATTTGAAAGTCACAATATGGAATTATTCCTTCATTGATGTCCTTGTGTGTGGGCTGGCAAATGACTCTGCTGCCCTGTAAGGCATACTGGAAAGACACAAACTCCTGCCCAAGATTTACCTTTTATTTCAGGGGGTGAAGCTGGGAGTGTGGTTTGCAGCATTCTTTCCTTGGATGCTGTATACCCCTCTGTGTATGCTTTGCCAGCTTTGCTGACCACCGCCAGACAGAAGAAGCTACCATGGTCCCACTGATTATTGATTCACTTGGTGTAAGTGGCATTCTGTAAAGCTTTGTCTTGCCAGAGACACTTCATAAGCAGGTTCCAAAGGGGTGGGTTTTGCTTCTTTACTCCCCTGTGTGACCCTATTAGACTTTGGCCTAACTTAAATGTCAGTCTTTAATTTAGATGGAAGAATCTGTCTAGATCATTCTTTATTTCTTGCATAAGAGTTCATGTCATTACTGACAAAGTAAGGGAAGAGATAGAAACTTCTTTGTCTGCTTTTAAGTATGTATGATGTCATAGACCTGCATGGAAGAAAACACGACACTGAAATTTGTCCTTGAAAGAGGTCTGAAGATAAGTATTATCCATCATATATTTTCTGTGAAAGGGTCTGCCTCAGACTAAGGCTTTGTCTTTACCAAGACTTTTGAAAGTGTTACAGCTTTCCAAAGATTTGATTTCTGTAGGTGTTTTTTATCAGAGAACATTATGTTGTTTGAAGCTTTTCTTGAGAACAAGTTTGTCATATTCCTGTTCTAATTCCTGCTGGAGTTCAGCTTTGATTTGAAATACCACTTTTAGAGAACTTAATTATCAGAAGATAGTCTTTATCAGAAGTTTCCAAGTACAGTTCTAAAAGTAAAGATCTTTGTTGCTAAATATTCAGGCATATATCTTCACAGTGATTCTGTAACAAGAAAAATAAGAGATACTTCTGATGGTGAGTATGAGGTGCTGAGGTATAGATTTCAAATGAGCTGATTTTGTAAGCTAACCCAAGATTTTAAAAATAACCCAACTCCATGTAGACAAAAAGTACACATGTATGTCTGTGGTGTTTCTAAAAAAAGCATGCTTCAGTGCAGTTTTTAATTGTCTCATGTACTGTGGATTTTTCAGATATCTCTTAAATACATTTTTCCTTTCTTATTTCAGAAATTGAGAAAGGTGATCATAAAGCAGGTAGAAGTAACCACTATTTAATAAATGCTTTGAAGACTGATCCTTCTTTAACTAAAGAATTACGAGTTGTTTTGGAGCAAGCCCTGGAGGAGAAGCTGGAATCCTTGGGAATTAAAGCAGTAAGATTATTTTGAGTTATTTAAAAGAGGGGTAATCTTTGTCCCACTTCTTTGCTGTTCTCTTTCACTCCTGGACCACAACCCCCAACCTATAAAGTCCAAAGCTAAATTTCCACGTGTTATAAATGTGTAACTCATTAACCTGAGAGGATGTCCATCAAATTACAGCTGTGGGGGATATGGCTACACCTGTGAGCAGTGTTACCACCTTTTGTGATTTTTTCTACAAGCTTTGTGATATTTGAAGTTTAAAAGAGTGTATATGATTGTAGGATAGAAATCCCAGAAATAATAGGCCCTGTGTTTACAATACAATTTGTTTCCTTAGGGTGTTCGCGGTATCCCAAATGAGCGCTTAAATAAAATTTTGCGTGCTATTCAATCTGCTAGAGAATGCAAACAGAAGCAAGAGCCTGACATTCAGCGAATTCGAGAGCATCTTGAACGCCAAGTTAGCTTTAGGGTTGAAGAGAAATCATCATCTTGTAATAGACCTGTTTCCTGCCCTCAGCTTCCTTCAGAAGGTTAAAATATTTTTGGTTTTTTTTTTTTTTTCCATTCTCTTACATTTTCTAACTGCTATTTAAGGTTTTATTTAGCAACATTTCTGTATAGCTGCTTTCATAATTTTTCATATAAAAATTCTATATAGGACTAAAAGGAAACTAAAGTTTCCTTTAAAGGGTTCTTGACATTGTGTTTAACTGCAGAAATCTTAGCTCCTATATTGGCAAGATAGATGGTAACTCTGAACTGCTTTGAAGAAAAAAATTACTTTTTTTCTTCTTTTTTTGCAAAACTATAATCTGCAGCAGAGACATCTCTAATTTTAGAAATTAAATATAAAAGATACCAAGCATTGTTTCTAATAATGAGTTAGATAACTTCTCTTGTAGGTAAACAGAAGTTCCATCAATTGGGAATTTCCTCATCTTCCACACCACGAAAACCAGTAAAACGGTCTTCAACAGCTGTCCGCCCAGCTGAACAAAGAACGGCCATCGCTGAGAATACATCTACACCAAAGTAAGAGCTGCTGTTCTCATAGTACACGTACCTCAGGTAACAATCCTGTGGGTTTGGGTTTTTGTGGCTGATGTGAACATTTCCTGCTAATATTGTAAGAACTGAGCAAAGAATTCACATTAGTTCTGTATAAACTTAATGCTTACTTAGTTGATTGTCAGTCTTGAAATAACTTGTCTTATTATTTTTAAATGCAGGAAGCTTTTTGGAAGTGGAGTTTCCAGAAAGACACCTAGTATCACGTATGTTTTGTTCCCTTGTATTTTTGAAGAAAACATTTTTAGTGACTGAATATTCACATGCTTGCCACGCAAAAGCTATTATTAAGCTGAAATCATAAACACTTTCTGGACTGCATATTTCATATTTTGTTTTAAAGTATTATTCCATTTGAGTCTGTTACTATAACCCCTGAAAGATAGCATGTTCTCCTTTCAGCAGATGTATTCTGTATTGTGAACCACTTCCTTCACTTTCATTCTCGGATGCTTTTTCTGAGCCAGTTAAAAGCATTTAAAGACTTTGGTGACCTTATTTTTTCAGTTTATTGGTATTTTCTTACTATGGCCAAAATTAAAAACAATATTCCAGATTCCACTCACATCAGGCACATTACTTTGTAATTTCCTGCACTGAAAAACTCCTCAATTATTTTCATCTAACAGAATATCAGAACAGACACTTTCTGTGGTGCAAATTCCTTGACCCTGAATTTTTCTCTCCCTGCTGATCCTTGAAAGCCTATCTTTGCCTGGCAAGACTTGTTATATATTGGTCTGTTGTTTTGTGAAAATAGTTGCATAGATGGAAATAATCGTGTCTATATATGAGACTATTTTGTGATAACTTTCTGAGTTTACTTAGCAGCATGATTTCTTTTAAATAGTTTTATGGATAGTTAGAATTTATGGGACCTCCTGTTTTTTTCACACAAGAAAAATGCACATGTTACTGGGAAGGAAAATACAAGGAAGCTTAAATATGTATATATCAATGCAGTCACTGAAACCCAGTAAGTCCTCGGGTTGTATGTGTTTTTGCATAGAACTCCACCATTCAGTTCAGAGGAAGAAGGAGATGAAGACGATATTAAGCAGTCTTACATATCACCAGAATTATTGCAAAAGCAGTCAAAAACATCAAGCAGCAAAGTCAGTGCTTTTCAGAAGGCTTCTGGCAAAAGCGATATGGATGCGACAGAGGAGAGTGAAATTGAAGAAACTGGAACACCTGCGAAAACTCCAAAAGGTTTTTTCACTGCTTTTGTATATGCATGTTGTAACAGCTGTGCATGATTTTGCATTTCCTGACAATAGTTCTGTGTTGGAAAACATAATGAAGGCAGACTGTCTAGTCCTGAGTGTATGTGTATTTGTGTGCACTTTAGGGTTTTGCTAATATGTTTATATTAATACAGTACTTAGAGATTTCAGTTCAAATTAGATGTGTATCATGCTGTTGTATATAAATGCAGAAAAAGAGACAATCTGTGCCTCGGAGAGACTTCTGTCTGAAACAGTTTTTCTCAGCCTTTTACTTATTTTTACTTTGTGGAAGATTTCTAGAGGGTTTACAGTAAATCCCCTTACTTGTGAATGGAAACTGTTAATATAATTTTTTTATGAACTTTAGGAGCAGTTATTCAGAAACTGACCGAACAAGTTGGAAAGAGTCTTTCTAACCGTGGAAATAAGAACAAACCAGCTGGAGGGATTAATGTTGCGCAGGCATTTATTAAGAAAGAAGAGGTGCAAGAACTGAAGGTATCACTTTCAATAGCCATTATTATTTCATTAAGTAATTGAACTAGATATGTGTGTATTACTTTTTTTTTTTTTCACGTTGAAATCATCTTGATGCAGTGAAGAACTTCATTCTCAAAGACAGTTTTGGAATTACAGTTAAATAGTCTTTTTGGTATATAGAAAAGTGCTAGCAAGTGAGGTATGGCAAGTGACCTCTTCATCCACGCTGCTTATTAGTTTATACCATGACTGTTTTGGATCACTACAGCTAGCCCAAAGTTTGGGCACAATTGGTATAGTTTTTATCTTCTATTCTAGCAGCACAGAGAGCGTACTTGCTTTCCTAGTATATTGTTTTGATGAAGGAAAAAATTAATTTGCTTGTCTAGTATTTTAAAATATATTTATTTCTAGCGCTTTATCTGATACGGAACTTTTAAATACATTTTAATGAGGGGACAAATTCCATTTCTGAGTATGGTCTTTGTTCTGCTGCATCTATTTACAATCATATACTGTTTTCAGACTACATCAGATGTATCACTGATGTCCGAGAATTGAGTATGACATGTGTTCACAATCAGAATACTAACACAACTTATTCTTTACCCCTCAGGCTCCTAAGGTCCCAGTCTTCCCCTCAGTTTAGAGTTTTATAATTGGTAAGCCACTTTGATGCAAATCGATCTTTGCCTGAACAATTTTTTTTAAAAAGAACAAAAGTTACTCCAGAAGTCAACAGCAGATAGTGCTATTTATTTCAGTTTTAGTAGTTGTTATTAGAGTGAAGACAACAACCAGATACTAGTTCTAGCATTCAAGAAAGTATTTTTTCACTAAATAAACAAATAATAATTACTGAAAATCCTGTTATCCGTAATAAAACTGATAGCTTCAGGCTTCCTGACTAACAGTTAAATCTGAAATGTATCACTCCTCCCAGAAACAGTGACACTTCTATTTCAGTATCCAGAAAGGGGTGATTGTCTTAATCAACTTTAGCTGTAATGGTAGGGTAATCACATTTAGCCTGTGTGCTTTTAATTGCCACTTGGTGACACCTAACTTGTCCATTGACTGTGTGGGAACTGCAAAACACACCAGACTCAAAATTATCAACTCAGACATGACTATTACAGTGTAATTTTCTGTCCAAATGTTACTTTCAAATTCTCTGCAATGTCAGATGATACAAGACTGTAAAATTTTCACAGTTAAATGCCTTAGTTTTCACTGGTAACCTCTCTTCCCACATCTCTCAAGCCCCTGAACCTCAAGGCAGGGACTGGGGGAATGAAGTCTCTCTCATTGTGGGAGAAGATCAAGTTCAGAAGATCAGGTTCGAGACCACCAGAGGAACCTGAACATACATAAGTCCATGGGACCTGACAAGATGCCGCCCAGGGTCCTAAGGAATTTGGCTGATGTAGTTGCCAAGCCACTCTCCATCATATTTGAAAAGTCATGGCAGTCAGGCAAAGACCCTGACTGAAAAAAGGGAAACATTGCACCCATTTTTAAAAAGGGTAAAAAGGAGGACCCTGGGAACTACTGACCTATCAGCCTCACCTCTATGCCTGGTAAGATTATGGAACGGATCATCCTGGAAGATATGTTGAAACATAAAGAAGACAGGTGATTAGAGACAGCCAACATGGCTTCACCAAGGGCCAGATCGTGCCTGACTAATGTGGTGGCCTTCTATGATGGAGTGACTGCATCAGTGGACAAGGGAAGAGCTATGGATGTCATCAACTTGGACTCTGTAAGGCATTTGATACTGACCCCCACAACATTCTTTCCTCTAAATTGGAGACATATGGGTTTGATGGATGGACTGTTAGATGGCTGAGGAACTGGCTGGATGGCCGCATCCAAGGAGTTACACTCAATGGCTCAATGTCCAAGTGGAAATTGGGAATGAGTGGTGTCCCTCAAGGGTCCGTACTGGGACCAGTACTGTTCAGTATCTTTATTACTGACATAGTGGGATTGAGTGCACCCTCAGCAAGTTTGCAGATGACACCAAGCTGAGTGGTGCAGTTAATGTGCTTGAGGGAAGAGATGCCATCCAGAGGGACCTTGACAGGCTTGAGGAGTGAGCCCGGGTGAACCTCATGAAGTTCAACAAGGCCAAGTGCAAGGTTCTGCACCTGGGTTGGGGTAATCCCCAATTTCAATGCAGACTGGGGAATGAATGGATTGAGAACAGTCCTGTGGAGAAGGACTTGGGGATACTGGTGGATGAAAAGCTGGACATAAGCTGGCAATGTGTGCTTGCAGCCCAGAAGCTAATTCATCCTGGGCTGCATAAAAACAAGTGTGGCCAGCAGGTCAAGGGAGGTGATTCCACCCCTCTACTCTGCTCTGGTGAGGCCTCACCGGGAGTACTACATCCAGCTCTGGAGCCCTCAGCACAGGAAAGACATGGACCTGTTGGAGCAGGTCCAGAGGAGGGGCCACAAAAGTGATCTGAGGGCTGGAACACCTCTCCTACGAGGACAGGCTGAGAGAGTTGGGGTTGTTCAGCCTGGAGAAGAGAAGGCTCTGGGGACACCTTGTTGCAGCCTTTCAAAATATAAAGGAGGCCTATAGGAAGGATGGAGAAAGACTTTTTACCAAGGCCTGTAGTGACAGGACAAGGGGCAATGGTTTTAAATGGAGAGTAGGTTTAGATTGGACATAAGGAGGAAGTTTTTTATGATGGGGGTGGTGCGACACTGGAACAGGTTGGCCCAAGAAGTTGATGGCCCATCACTGAAGTGTTCAAGTTCGGGTTGGACAGGACTTTGGGCAACCTGATCTAGTGAAAGATGTCCCTGCCCATGGCAGAGGGGTTGGACTAGATGATCTCTAAAGGTCTCTTCCAACGCAAACTATCCCATGATTCCATGAAAAATATTTTTGCTATAATTCGTTTAGAATATATTGCGTCCTTGATGTATTAACATAGTGGCGTGTTGCTGTATGGACGTGATGAGTCTATGAACCCCAGGTAGGCACTGATGCTTTGTTGCTGGAATCCTTACAGAACAACACACTATGTTGTATTCTTGCTAATTACATATGAATGTGCATATATTCATGTCCGTATTTGTATGTTTAAATGTAGGCATATAGTTCTAGTTAATTCTTTAAATTTTAGGTGAGATTTTCAAAGGTGCCCAAAGACATAAGCACAAAATGCCATTGGAATGATGGTTTGTCTGAAAATAATTTTTTTTTCATTAGCTTAATTACTAATAGCTTAAATACTTACAGCTACTAATGGTTGTTCTCAAAACCTGCAATACCATAAAACCTTTGTAAGGCATCCCATTGTCACATGTTTTATAAAGGTCATGTTTTACAGAAGTTACTTTGGAAACATTTTAGAGAAAATTAATTTTCTGCTTACCTGAAGCTGTATTACCTGAGTTCACCTGTACCAGACATTGTATGGATTATGGTATTTCTTTGGAATAAGTCTTTGAGTTAATAAAACTGCTTAGCAGTTTTGATTGGTGTTGTGTATTTACACTTGATCAAAACTGAATTCTCTTTGAAGTTTGACATTTTTCTCTGTATTTTGTACTTTAAAAATCAGGTGGGACTTAGTGAATGTTTGAGGAAACTCTTCCTCCAGCATTTCTTAATATATATGACTCTGACTTGCCCATTACCATGCCCTCCAAATGCAGAGAATTTAAAACAGCAAAATGTTAAATCCTGGTATGTTAACAATACAGCACACCAAGCAGATCTGTCAGTTTTTGAGAAACAGTTTGCAATGTTAAAATTGAATTATGTTGCAAGATAGAGCATTACTGCAGTCTCTTCCCCTTTCGAGACACACGACACGTTCATTTGTTGATTTTTCTCTAGTATGTACATACCTTACATTGTTTTTGAATAGAATCTGATTCTTTCTTCCGTGCAATAGAAGCACCTTCTATATCTTATGTAATATTGAGAGATTCTAGTGAAATAAGGTTTTAGCTTTGTGAGAAACCATCTCTCGGTTTCCGCAGTTAAGCTCTCTAATAATGGCTTGATTTCATTGAACCACATCTGATTGACAAACCAGGAAATGCTGAATGAAGATATTTAGTTCTCAGGCAGATGATATAAGAAAGACCATGGACTCATTGCCTTCAGGTTCATCCGTTTAACTTGACTTTCATATTGTGAACTCATTATGCAAATCCACCACTTAGTTAAAAATCTACTTGTACATGCTGACAGTGAGTCCTAAGAGGAATACATATTTTAACTGTGAGCACCATGTGTTTTTTTTAACTTCCGTTACTTAATTTTCTCTTTAAATATATTAGTTCTAAGTTGACAAGGCCTTTACTGCAATATTATATTTTTCTAGTGTGAATACAGAATGCTTATATAGCAAACTAAACTGCCAGCTTGCATGATAACATGTCATGTCTTTATTTTCATGTAAGTAATATACATTCTAATGCTTAAAGGACTTTTCATCTCATTGCAGTAGCTAGTATCCCAGAAAAGACATTCCTGTTTTAAGTTAGACATGTAATACCTGAAAACATAGGTTTCTGCCAGTTTCATAACTGGCAGAACTTTTACCTTTTGCAGTTCCTGACTTTAAAAAAAAAAAAAAAAAAAAACAAACCACTTTTAGCTTTGAACTATAATAGTGAATTAATACAATTTAAGTAACTGAATTATGCAGATTTTAAAACTGGGGTGATAGATGCCATAAAGGCCATGTGCCAGTGCATTTTTCTTTAGCAGTTTCACATTGTTGAGTTTGTGGAAGATCTCAGCACAACTTGCATGGACAGAGGAAAAATGCATGTTTCTTCTTCTCCCTATTAGTTCACAGAAGTTGAAGATGATGATTGGGATATATCATCAGTAGAAGAAGACTTACTATTAATGAAAGATGATAGAGGCCAGAAGGCATTGACAGTTCAGAAAAATGAGTCAAACGCTGCATCTGTGGTACATGCATGGGGTCTTCCAAAGACAAGTGTACCAAAGGAGGAAGGTAACGTATTCATACTTCTACATGATAAGCCTTAAGTGCCTAACACACCTAGAGGAGAACTTATGCATACTGTATTACACATTGTAGTTCAATAGATGGTATTTTATAAGAAAAGAACAAGTAAGAAAACCTATGTGCTTGGTTTTATGTCATACAAATATCACATATGATGTTTATGATACCAACTTCTATGTAAACAACACACACAAATACACAGAGATGCCAAGAAACTTAAATTTGAGATTTTAAAACATATAATACTTTAACTTTGTCTTAAAAATTAATCATCCGGGATTTTTTTTTTTTTTAATCCTTTCCCAGATTTAAGGAAGTAGGGAAATTTTCTTACTTTGTCTTGAGAATAATAATCAAATTTCAGGTTTGTTCAAGATACCGAAGTGACCTACCAGGCTGAGATAAATATTTGAGCTACTGGTAAGGTAATAGCCTCAATCTTACATAGAACTTAGATAGTAGTTTCGAGCCCTAACATTTCAATATACTTAAAGGTTAAAGCTGTGTCAGTTACATAAAGATACTTCAGGTTATTTTTAAAGGGAAAGTAATGTTGACACTGACTGCTTGTACTGTGCATTGTATTCTGTGACAGAAACAGCCTTCATATTATCAACACTTGTAATTTCCTCACTAGGTGAAATTCTCGACTTCCTGAAGTCCACAGGTGTTTGCTCACATAGCATGTGATTTTATCTCATAGATAAATACAGAGTAAAAATACCCCCAAAATATTATTAATAATTGTTAATATTTCTTCGTTATGTTAACAGGCCTTCATGAAGCTGATAATACAAGCACGTTAAAAAGCAGCTTAGTCACTGTAACAGATTGGAGCGATTCTTCAGATATATAATTGTTGCATTCCTGATGGGAGGCACTGCTTTCGGGTTCTGTTGGGGTTGAAAATGTAGTTGAAAACATCGTGTTTCCTATTCATTTCTCATATTGGTCATGTAATAACAAGGAATACCGTTTACAGAGCTCTTGCATCTTTCAGTGTTGAATCTGAAACAAGAATATGCATATACACATTACTGGCCACGTCTATTTGGAAAGCGAGAGTTAATGCTTCTTTCTCATGAACTCAATGGTGAAAGTCTCTTTGATTTCACTGAGGTGAAGATTTTGCCTCTAATGTTTACATTAAAGATTGAAACTGGTCTTGCAAGAAAGCCTGTTAACCAATGAACGGAATTTACTCCAGAGTATTACCTTATAAAGTTTTTAATGTACATTTTCTTGTATTTTATCGTAAACTTTATATAAAATTGTGAACATTTTGAATAAAATATTTCCATCTAGTAAAATGTTACGTTTCTAATATGGTTTACAATAAACACCAAATGAAAAGGAAAAAAAGGCCTGAGCTATAAAGCTAGTTATTATTAAATGCCTCCTATTATGGGAAGTCACTCTAATCGAAAAAGAAAGACTTGAGTTTTAGTTAACACAAAAGCACAAAAATTGGAAAAGAAATTAAAACGTCAGGCTAGGGTGAGGAAAGTACTGACCTGCCATTGCTCAAGTACTTCCCTATTTCTGTTTTGTCCATAGTGGCTGCCTTCTTAAAAAAAACCACAAAATACAAATAGAAAACCAAGGTAAAATAAAAAGAACCTTGAATAGCTTTGTAGTTTTGATGTATTTTGGATGGTATCAGATATAAAACCTTTTCTGTCATACTGTGCCATTAATAGATAGGACTATTTATGTTTTTATATTTACACCCATGTCCCAAAATGAAACTCCAAGGGTCTATCAGTTCAAACCTCAAGACAGACCTGAGTTTGTGTCTAATTTTAGGGTCCCAGTCTAGAAAGCATTTTGTGGTTATTCCTAATCTCTAATCTCATTTATTAAATCATTGTAGAAATATTCCCTCAAAAGCCATCATATTTCTATGACAAGCCCCAAAAAAGTGCTAGCTGAATTTTTGAACTGTAGTAACTAACTCATGATCAGCTAAAAAGGCGGCCAACAGCATCCTGGCTTGGATCAGGAATAGTGT